ACCACGCGGACAAGCTTGTCCATTATATTCTTCTCTCTTTGAATATATTCAGAATCTCTGGTTTTCAACTTGAGTTTCAGATGGTTGACATCATCCTTCAAGCCATCGCACTCGACATGCATTCCCGCCATAGCACCATATTGGTGTTCAATTAGTTCATAGAGCCGATCTATATGTTTTTGCACTTCCTCTTTGCATGGCACCTCCTTCATTATCTTTCTTTCTTGGGGAGAGAGGGAGGGGGAATAATGACAGAGAGAGGGGTCTAGGGTTTATGGGTTTATGGCTGGGGAGTTACGCATGTTTTTGTACAGATCCTTCATGAGCGTGATATCATCACTATTTTTCACCCCGTGAATGCAGTGTCAGTTAGCCAGGCCAGCTTACTCTTATTTAAGTTGGAATAGTAGAGATTATATTATTATAGTCCATACATTCAGGTAAGCAAGTATAGGGTATTACGTACTTTGCAATGCATACGAAATTCCACAATGGATGCGCTTATGAAAAATGGTATTTATATTGAAGGCATTTGGTACAAACTAATTTATATATGGAGACCAAACGTAGCAAACTAACTACATAGGCTAGCTCAACCTTAAATTAAAACGCCATACTACCCAAACAAAACCAATTTTTTTTGTGCGATTTCCACGTAACGTTGGATGACTATTTATAATTTTTCAAGTTCGTTTTAGTACCGTTTTAGGTTTTATGCATTTCAAGAATTTTCTTCCTGTTATTTATTTTCATTTATAATTTGCTTCGTATTACTACACCTTTACTTTGAAGAATTTTCTTCCAGTTCTAATTTGATCTTTTCGCGATCGCAGAATTCTCGTGCGTCTTCTGTGCTCTTTATAAGTTTCTATCTTCTCATTTGTTTTCTTCCTCTTATTTATTTGTTAGTACTGTGCTTCGTTTTAGTACATGTTTTTCTTCCAGTTCTCATTTGGTCGGTGCTAATGATCGATGCGTCTTTTCGCAATCGCAAAATACTCAATTGCTTGGTGTGTGTCTTATGTTCTCAGTGCGTCTAGCAAATTTTCAGGTAATGTTAGTGCATGCATCTTCTCATTTGTTTTCTTCTTGTTTATTTGTTATTACTGCGCTTCATTTTAATACATCTTTACTTTCAAGTATTTTCTTCTAGTTTGATTGGTGTTCTTCGGTAATGTTGGATTGCAATTTATAATTTCAAGTAATGATATAGTGCGTCTTCTCATATTTTTTTCTTCTTGTTTATTTGTTATTATTGCACTTCGTTTTAGTACATTTTTTTCTTCCCGTTTTCATTTGATCGATGCGTCTTTTCGCGATCGCAGAATTCTCAATTGCTTGGTGTGTGTCTTCTGTTATCAGTGCGACTAGCGAATTTTTAGGTAATGTTAGTGCGTCTTCTCATTTGTTTTCATATTGTTTATTTGTTATTACTGTGCTTCGTTTTAATACATCTTTACTTTCAAGAATTTTCTTCCAGTTTGATTGGTGCTCTTCAATTCGTTAATGTTGGATTGGAATTTATAATTTCCTTTTATTTATTTTTGAGTTTTTTTAGTACACGTTTTACTGCATTTGAAGAGTTTAGTACACGTTTACTACATTGGAAGAAAATGTTCTTACTTAATCAATATGTTCTTATTGTTGCTATATGTTGAATTGAAATTTATAATTTTCTTTTATTTATTTGTGAGTTCTTTTAGTACACGTTTTACTGCATTTGAAGAGTTTAGTACACGTTTACTGCGTTGGATGAAAATGTTCTTACTTAGTCAATCTGTTTTTATTGTTGCTGCAACTTATAGTTTAATTTGGAAAATATAATTTCAAATGTTTTACATATTTGAAGCGAAGTATATTTGCAAACAAATAATACTCGGAGTACGAGTTATCGATCCACAGGGAAGTGGTTGTACTAAGCACTAGCTACTAAATTATTCTATGAAGCTAATCCTACGATTTACTTGGAATGGTTGCATAAAATAAATAAAATTAAGTAATGATTCAGGGTAATGGAAACAATAGAGAGAGACTGAGATTCCTGGGATTCAAGTGTTTAATCCCCTAGTGTCTAACCTAATGCAATATTAAATCTGGGTTCATACGAGTGTGAGGATGCAAAGCTGTTAGAGCTACCCCCGTAGTCTTTAACACGGGTGAATATCCACTCCCGTGCGATAACCACCCAATAAAACAAGAACAAGCATCATAAATCCTTAACTACTTCCATCTCCCGAACTGGCAATAATCAAGAATTAAATCTCCCTAATAAATTACCATCCCAATGTGCAACAATTAGGTGCAATTGTGTATGCCCTAATTTATGCCTAACTCCCGTTCAAACATGAATATGGCAAACGAAACAAGTAACTATGACCAGTAATTACAAGCATCAAACAATAAAGTCACATTGCAACACAATTATTAAACCCAAATAATAATATGTTATAGAATCTGAGAGCTTAGGCACATAGGTTCATAAACACTTTTACCCAAGAATCTCTAAGGAATTTAGCCAAGCATGACTAAATTATACATGGCCAATAATAATAAAAGTTATACAAATTATCTAAAGAGTACAAGAATGAACCAAACGATTCTCTCAAATCTCCCTAGTCTTCTTCTTGCATCCCAAGATAACTTGTGGCTCTTGATTTCTCCCTGTCTTGTCTCCAAAGATCTCTGAATGAATATTAAGGGGTGTATTCAATCATGAATTTTGTAGAGTTTTAAAGACTTTTAAAATGATAGATTTTAATAAACTTTGATTGACTTTAATAGAGTCGTTCAAAACTTTTTAAAACTTTATAAGACTCTATAAAAGTCTATATAAAAAATATTCATAGACTTTTATCAACTTTTTATTTTAAGAAGTCTACAAAAGTCAATGAAATTCTAAATTGAATACATCCTTGCAAACTTTCAATGATTTTGATTCTTATCATTTATAATTTTCTTACAAAACATTTATAATATATCATAAAATTCTTCTTATTATATAGTTCTTCACCCACATCAACATTTTCAACATTATTATTTTTATCCATAGTATGTTGAAACTTACAACATAGTATGGAATTGTGTATCACGTTATGGCCCTGGAAGCTCCAAAAGAAATTTGGGATAAATTGGAAACTCAGTTCATGGAAAAATCTCTAACGAACAAACTGTATCTAAAGCAAATGCTTTATGGGCTTAAGATGCAGGAGGGTTCAGACTTGGTGCATCATATTAATGTCTTCAACCAGATAATCTCAGATCTGGCCAGTCTTGATGTCAAGATTGAAGATGAAGACAAGGCGATGATCTTGCTATGTTCATTACCTTTTTCCTTTGAACATCTGGTGACTACTCTAACATACGGGAAAAGCACGATTAAATACAGCGAGATCTCTGCGGCCCTGCAGGCTCATAATAAGCGCTTGCAGAGTGTAGGAGATGGATCGTCTGTTGGTGAAAGTTTGTATGCTAAAGAGGGTCAGGATCGTGGAAGGAAACAAGAGAAGGGTAATTCTGGGAGGAGAAACTCTAGGTCTAAGTCCAGAAATAGCAGGAAAATCCGGTGCTACAAGTGTTATGAGATTGGGCACATAAAGAGAGATTGTCCAAAGTTGAAAAAACAACAAGAGGCGGCGAACGTGGTACATGCTGATGACTCAGATTATAGTGAAGGTGATGTTCTAGCAGTTTCATCGAGTAAGTTGTCATATGCTTGGATTGTAGACTCAGGATGCTCTTATCATATTACACCTAACAGGGAGTGGTTCACAACCTATAAGTCAGGTACTTTCGGTTCTGTTTTTCTGGGTGATGATAGATGTCATAATATCATAGGTATTGGTGATGTTAACATCCAGATGTATGATGGTATTGTCAGAACTTTGCATGATGTCAGACATATACCGGGATTAACTAAGAACCTGATTTCTCTTAGCAGTTTGCATGCTAATGGTTTTATTCATAAGTCTGAGAGTGATAAGGAAACCATTAAAATTAGTAAGGGTGCTTTAACTATGATGAAAGGGAAAATGACCACAGGGAACATTTATAGGTTGTTGGGTAGTACTGTTGTAGGTGGAGCACATTCTGTTGAGTCTAGTGATGATACTACTAGGTTGTGGCATTTACGTTTGGGTCACCTTGGTGAACGTTGTCTGTCTGATTTGCACAAAAGGAATTTGTTAAAAGGAGTTAAATGTTGTAAGCTAGATTTTTGTGAGTTCTGTGTCCTTGGGAAACAGACTAGAGTCAGTTTTTCTACTGGGCAGCATAAAACTAAATGGATTCTGGATTATGTGCATTCTGATGTTTGGGAACCTACCAGGGAACCTTCAATGGGTGACTCTCGATATTATGTTACATTTACTGACGATTTTTCTAGGAAAGTCTGGGTGTATTTCTTGAAACATAAATCTGAAGTGTTTGAGAAATTTAAGTTGTGGACAGCTGAGGTTGAGAACCAGACTAGAAGAAAAATCAAGTACCTAAGGTCTGACAACGGGACAGAATATACTGAGAAAGAATTTCAGAAATTCTGTGCAGAACATGGAATTCAAAGGCACTATACAGTGCGTAAGACACCACAACAGAATGGTGTTGCTGAGCGGCTGAATAGAACCATTGCTGAGAGAGCAAGGTGTCTCAGATTGAATTCTGGGCTCTCTAAGTGTTTTTGGGCAGAAGCAGTGAACATGGCATGTTACTTGAATAATAGATCACCACGGACATCACTTGGTGGCAAGGTTCCTGAGGAGGTTTGGTTAGGTAATCCTGTAAGTTTTGATCACTTACGAGTTTTTGATTGTCCTAGCTATGTTCTTATTCCAGGTGATGAGAGATCAAAGTTAGATCCAAGTCGAAGAAGTGAATCTTTTTGGGTTACAAGAAAGGTGTAAAAGGATATAAGTTTTGGGATCCTGCAACCAAAAAGGTGGTGATTAGCAGAGATGCAGTGTTTGATGAGAATTTCATGTTCCAGCCAAAGAAAGAAGATACACTAGTTGATGGTTCTAGTACAGTAGAAGTGGATATGGATCGTGTACCTTTGAGTGAGAAAGTAGTTAATCCACCTATGATTGAGACTCAAGAAGTTGCAGATCCTACATCTGCAGCAGGTTCGAGTTCAGAAAATTTACAAGATTACAGTTTGGCTAGAGATAGACCGAGACGCACCAATGTCAAACCACCTAGTAGGTATGGGTTTGAGGATATGGTTTCTTTTGCACTTCTTGTTTCTAATAATGATCCAGTTACCTTTCAAGAGGCTATTTCTAGTCAGGAGAAAGATAAATGGATGGCAGGTATGATTGAGGAGATGGACTCTTTACATCATAATCATACTTGGGAGTTAGCTCAACTTCCTCAAGGAAAGAAGGCTATAGGGTGCAAGTGGGTCTATAGAAAGAAGCCACCAGTATCAGAAAAAGAAGGGGAAAGGTTTAAGGCTAGGTTAGTTGCAAAGGGGTTTTCTCAACAGAAGGGGATAGATTATGATGAGGTTTTCTCTCCTGTTGTTAGACATACTTCTATCAGATTAGTACTTGCTTTGGTAGCCATTTGGGATTTGCATTTGGAACAAATGGATGTGAAAACTGCTTTTTTACATGGTGATCTAGATGAGCAAATTTACATGAAGCAACCTGAAGGGTTTGTTAAACCCGGAGGGGAGCATCTGGTTTGTCGACTCAAGAGGTCTTTGTATGGGCTGAAACAGGCTCCACGGCAGTGGTACAAGCGGTTCGATGCCTACATGATTCAAATTGGCTATACACGTTGTGAGTATGATTGTTGTGTCTATGTTAAAAGACTTGGTGATGGTTCTTTTATTTTTCTGTTACTGTATGTGGATGATATGTTGATCGCTGCTAAGAGTATGAATGATATTACTGCATTGAAAGTTTTGTTGGGTCAGGAATTTGATATGAAAGACTTAGGAGTTCCACAGAAAATTCTTGGCATGGAAATTCACAGGGATAGAGGTGCAAGAAAGTTGTGGCTAACTCAACAGAGTTATATAGAGAAAATTCTTGACAGGTTTGGGATGAGTAAGTCTAAACCGGTTAGTACCCCTTTGGCTAATCATTTTAAACTCTCATCCAGTCAGTGTCCCCAAACAGTTAGTGAGATTGAAAATATGGCAAAGGTTCCTTATGCTAGTGCAGTTGGTTGTTTAATGTATGAAATGGTTTGTACTCGACCTGATTTGGCTCATGCTGTTAGCCAAGTTAGTAAGTACATGTCTAAACCTGGGAAGCAGCATTGGGAAGCAGTTAAATGGATTCTGCGGTACTTAAGGGGCACTATGGAGCATGGTATTGTATTTGGGAGTCAACAAAATGAGCATGTACTCATGGGATATGTGGATTCTGATTATGCTGGTGACATGGATAATAGACGTCCTACAACAGGGTATGTTTTTACTCTTGGGGGTGGTCCTATTTGCTGGAGATCATCAGTTCAGTCTATTGTAGCTTTGTCTACAACTGAAGCAGAATACATGGCTGTGACTGAGGCAGCTAAAGAGGCTTTGTGGCTTTCAGGTTTGATTAAGGAGTTGGGTATTGAGCGAGATGGAGTTCAATTACACTATGACAATCAAAGTGCCATTTTCTTAGCTAAAAATCAAGTATACCATGCCAGAACCAAACATATTGATGTAAGGTTTCATAAGGTCAGAGAGTTGGTTGCTTCTGGTGAGATTTTGTTGCAGAAAATTCATACAAGTGAGAATGCAGCAGACATGTTGACAAAGGCAGTTACTAGCGACAAGTTCAAACATTGTTTGGACTGGTTGGGTGTTTCCAGATGTTAAATGAACATGGTGGTCCTAATCCAGGGAGACTATGAGATGAGTTTTTTCTCCTAAAGGGCTTATTTGCGAAGGTGGAGATAGTTAGATAAGTATTTTCTCCTGAAGGGCTTATTCGCCAAGGTGGAGATTTGTTGAGTTATCTTTTCTCCTAGAGAGCATATTCGCCAAGGTGGAGATTTGTTGTGTTTGTCTCATATAAGGATTAGGAATATGAGTTTGTCTCATATAAGGAATAGGAGTGAAAGGGAGATTATATGCCTATAAATATAATCAATGTATCTCATCACCTGGATCACCATCACAAATAATAAGAGAATACTTTCATTCCCGTGGATGTAGGCACATTGCCGAACCACGTAAATCTTGTCTTCTTTACCTTTTTGTCATTATTATTTTCTTGTTCTTGTTAATCTCAACAGTAATAATAATAATAATAATAATAATAATAATAATAATAATAATAATAATAATAATAATAATAATAATAATAATAATAATAATAAAGAAAATGCTAACATCGGAAGAAATGACAAAAGTAATGAACAAATTCAAATATAAAGATATAAAAAGGAAGCTTGTATATTGAAAAAGTAATGAGGGGAGAAGAGAGATGATGTATTGAGAAAACATACAAAATCATAATTAAGAAATCTCTTATTTGAGCTTAATTAAAGGATGTGTCGAGAGAAGTTGCCCACTTGAAGAATACCCTTACATAAAGGACATGTCAATAGAAGTTGCGCCTTGAGGAATACCGTACCCTTCCATAACATTCATTTATTTTAAAAGAGATAAACTCATAAAAGTTGGACTGTTAAGTCTTGGAGATAGGGTGTGCTAAGAAGGAGGAATCGATACATGTATTACAGCACGTTTGGTTCATGGAATGAATTTTGAGGTAAAAGGAATGCTATTTCATAAGGAATAGAATAGGCAAGGAATAGAATAGGAATTGTATTCTATTGTTTAGTTCGCGGAAAGAATAGACTTTAGGAATTATATTACAGTGTTTGGTTGATTTAAGGAATAGAAATGAAATATGTTTTAAAAGACATAAATACCCTTATAAAAATATGTGATGGTGGTGGCGGTGGTGGTGGTGGTGGTGGTGGTGGCGGCGTTGGTGGTGGTGGTGCTGGGGTGGTGGTGGTGGTGGTGGTGGCGGTGGCAGTGGTGGGGGCGACGGTGGTGGTGGTGACGGTGACGATGACGGTTGACGGTGACGGTTGTGGCAGTGGTGGTGGGGGCGGCGACGGTTGTGGCGGTGCTGGTGGTGGTGGCGGTTGTGCTACTGGGTGGTGGTTCTAGTGGCGGTGGTGGTGGTGGCGGTGGCGGTGGTGGTGGCGGCGGTGGTGGTGGGGGCGGCGACGGTTGTGGCGATGGTGGTGGTGGTGGTGTTGGTGGCGGCGGCGATGGTGGTGGTGGTGGTGGCGACGACGGTGGATAAATAGGATAAATTTATATATAGGATAAAAAAAATTAGGTTAAAGAAAGGGGTAAAAAAGAAAATACATTCTAAAATCTATTCCTGAGCGTTCAGTAATAGGCTAATACCAGGAGGCCCCTAGTAATAGTTATTACCTTATTTGAGGTAATAGGCTATTACCAAGAATATTATTCCTGGTAATAGAAATGGTTACCAAACAAAAGAATATGCCTATTACTGGGAATGCTATGCCATTTCCGATCTATTTCGTGAACCAAACGGGCCATTAGTGTTTTGGAGATAACTAATACACGCACAGTAAGTATTCTCTTCGACAAAGAGGATTACACTAGGGCTATGTAAAACCTGTCCAACCCAAAACTCCGACCGATTCAAAACACGAACATCTATCTAGGTATGGTATTCGAATCTGAATGTACAAAATTGATCTGAATAATGCTTTGTTCGGATGTTATATATATATAAGGGATCAGGTGCGGGTGGTGCTTCCCGTGCGGTTGTTCGGGTAGACTCACATTAAGCATTACACTGGCACACTTTAAGTACACAACAGACGCACATTAAACACACAATCAAAATACATTCAGAACACAAACTCACGCACCTTAATCACAAACCCTCACGTACATTAAGCACAAAACTCACACACATTAAGCACAAAAACACATGCACCTTAAGTTTTAACAACTCACATTAAGTACACACTCACGCACATTAAGTACAAAACTCACGCACCTTAAGCACAAGACTCACACACCTTGAGCACAAAACTCACGCACATTAAACACAAAACTCATGCACTTTATAGTTTCAACAACTCACATTAAATACGCACGCACGCACGCACATTAAACACACAACTCACGCACCTTAGGCACAAGACTCACGCACCTTAAGTACAAAACTCACGCACATTAAACACTACACACTCACACACATTAAGCACAAACCTCACGCACCTTAAGCACAAGACTCACGCATATTAAGTACAAAACTCACGTACATTAATCACCCGCACAACCACACGGGAAGCATTCACCCACACTGGAACTTAAACCTATATATATGTATATATATATATATATATATATATATATATATATATATATATATATATATATATATATATATATTATAGCTAGCGTTTTCCCTTTCTCCTCTCTTGGTTTTGCACAGTCGCAATTCCTCTAGTCCTCTCCCGTCTCCCATTCTCTCTACTTCGCCTTCTCCAGTTCTCCAAACTTCCATGTCTCTCATTCGTTCATAGTCTCTCGTTCTTTAATCTCTCACACTCTGATTCTCACTCTCTTACTCTGTCTCTCACGAACTCATTCTCTCGTACTCTCACAGTCTCACTTAGACTTGACTTTTGAGTGTTTTCTCTTCAACGCTAGTGGTGCCGTGGTGGAAGCCTTTTATCCTGCAAGAAATTCGATTGAGGAGGGCGAAGAAGTAGGACAGATTCAGAAATTTTTTCCAGTAAAAGCGAAACATTAAAACAAAAGAGATGATTTAAAACAAAATAAATAAATTACCTAAGAATTTTTTTTTTTTTATAACCATTACCTAAGAAATATAGTTGTAAATATTATTGGATATGTGCGAAAAATAAAACACATCGAAACTTTATAAAAATGTTCATAACAAAATATGCTACATAATTCATTTGATAAAATAATTTGAAAGAACTCAAAAATATGAAAAACTATGGTAATGCAAAGATTTAAACCCAAGACCTTTCCCATTACCAACCACTTGCCCTACCAACTAATCTAATTCCTTACTTCTTAATATTTACTAATTTTTTTTTATACTAATACTAAAACCTATACTATATATACATATATACATATATACATACATACACAAATTATATATGGGGTGGGGTGGGGGTGGGGTAGGGGGGGCAGCTGCCCCCCCCCTTTGGCTCCGTCCCTGCCTGCAAGCCTTCGACTCTCATATCCGTGGTGGCTCCATGGTGGAAGCCTGTTTGCTTGAAGCCCTAGTTTTCTAGGAAAATATGGAGAAAACATGTAAATCTCAAACTTTTTTAAATACTGTTGTTGTATACTTTCTAGGATTTTTTACTTATTGTGTTATAGTGTTTGATGTATTCACTCTTTTGTAAACCTCTAAAAATTTGTAAGTGAGCCATTGAACCTTATTTTTTTGGCCTTTTCATATACATGATGAATTTTAAAAAAATTCTGATATATGGTTTTATGTTTATAGTTAGAGGATCGTACATGATGTATATATAGATTGTGTAATTGTGTTTGGATTGGTGGAAGGCTACTGTAAGTATGTAATCATGAACTATGATTAAATTCTTATGATGGATATATTCTCTATTTCTATTAATGTGTATGAATATTGAATTGTTAGATTATTTTATGACAGCCTAATTTGCTTTATGTGAATTTTTGTTGATGCATATTGTATGTTTGTAATCTGTATGAATTGTATGATAGTATGAGACTATGAGCCCTAAATTTGGGCAATTCTATATATGATGATTCAATTCCGAAATGCAATTTATGATGAATTACTGAATTGTGATTTGTGAGGCAAACTGACAACTGGCGCAAATTATGCTGTGCATCCGTATGCACCATGCATGGTGCATACGGATGCAAAAACGACGTCGTTTTAATAAAACACGCGTCTCCCCTTTAAAAAAAAATAAAATCAGGTTCGATTCCCAGCAACAACATATGAACTAAAATTCCAGAACTGATGAACTATAATTCCATAATCGATGAACTATAATTCCAGAATCCAATCTATGAACTAAAAAATCCAGAATGAATGAACTAAAATTCCAGAATCTATGAACTATAATTTCATAATCGATGAACTATAATTCCATAATCGATGAACTATTATTCCAGAATCAATGAACTATAATTCCATAATCTATGAACTAAAATTTCATAATGAATGAACAACATAATGCTGTTGCTAGGAATCGAACCTGAATTTTTTTTTAAAAGGGAAACGCGCGTTTTTAATAACGTGGAAACAATTGAACTGTTACTACCTTGATTCCTTTCCATGAGGCCCATTGAGGAAAAAAAAAAAAAAAAAAAAACAAGCATCAATATCAGCAATAGTTATGCTGTGCAACCGAATGCACCATGCGCATGGTGCATACGATGCAAAACGATGTCGTTTTGACTAAAAACGCGCGTCCCACTTAAAAAAAAAAAATTCATGTTCGATTCTCGGCAATAGCATTATTGTGGACATATAGTTATGAATTTCTGGATATATAGTTATAAATTTATGGATATTTAGTTCATTCATTGTGGATATTTAATTCATTCATTGTAGATATTTACTTCATTCATTTACTGTGGATATATAGTTATGAATTTCTGGATATATAGTTATGAATTTCTGGATATTTAGTTCATTCATTGTGGATATTTAGTTCAATCATTGTGGATATTTAGTTCATTCATTGTGGATTTTTACTTCATTCATTCACTATGGATATATAGTTGTGGATTTTTACTTCATTCATTCACTGTGGTCTGTGGATATATAGTTATGAATTTATGGATATATAGTTACGAATTTATGGATATATAAAAATGCTATTGCCGGGAATTGAACCTGATTTCTTCTTTAAGTGGGACGCGCGTTTTTTAACTAAAACGACGTCATTTTGGACCGAATGCACCATGCGCATGGTGCATTCGGTTGCACAGCATATTTTGCGCAATATCAGTTCATTAGGCCTTTAAGAATTTTCCCTTGATTCATTGAATTTTGAGTGAATAGTTAATCTAATATGGTATATCACTCTCATTTACTTCTTAGTTCTTAGTTATTAGTTATTAGTTATTAATTCTTAAGCCTTAACTGATTAGTGTTTACTAATTACTACCAATCGTTATGCTGTGGAATCGTGTCCACCTTGCATGGTTCTATGTTTATAATTACTAAACTATATGTTCATAATTATAAAGGTATATATTCATAATTTTTGAATTTCATATTCATAATTATTGAACTCTATATTCACAATTACAGAACTATATGTTCATAATTATAAAGCTATATGCCTATATATTTATAATTTTTGAACTTCATATTCACAATTATTGAATGTCTATATTCATAATTACAGAACTATATGTTCATAATTATGTTCACAACTCTATGTTCATAATTATATAACTATATGTTCAAAAATTTTGAACTATATATTCATAATTATGAACAGTTTTGGAACGGTTTCCACCTTGCAAGGTGGACACGATTCCACATCATAATTTGCCAATTACTACTTTGTTGACTAAGATGATACTTTCACCATTTGTCTGAATTAAAGGACTTTGGATTGGTATGTTGCTCATGAGTTTTGAGTTTCAAAATTAAGTAGCAATTTGTCCTCAATCCTACCTTGATATAGAAAAATAGCAATCTAAGCCTTTTATCTTTCTCAGCAGTCAGCACACCTGTAATTCCTTTTAACACTTGTATATTAGTAGTGATAGACTGATAGCTAATGATTTTAAATTGTGCATTTGTGTTATTTGAACAGGAAGTGGAGTAGGATTTAAGGGTGTGTTTGGAAACCTGGAAAATGAGTTCTGGAAATCATTTTCCAAGTTTCCAGTGTTTGGATGTGCCTGGAAAATCAAGTCAACGGAAATCATTTTCCGTTGACTTTGGAAAATAGGCTTGTTTTGGAGGAAAATGACTTCCCCTTTTTTTGGGGGGAAGTCATTTTCCAACTTTTACACCAACATCACACCACCACCAACATCATCAACACCATACCACCATCACCACCACTATTACCGCCGCCACCACCACTATACCCCCGCCACCATCACACCCCCACCACAACCATCACCAACACCGCAACCACTACCACCACCACACCACCACCTTCATACCACCGCCGCCGCCACCACCACTACCATACCACCGCAACCACCGTCGCCGCCACCACTACCACCATACCACCGCCACCGCCATCACCACCATACCACCGCAACCACCGTCGCCGCCACCACCACCACCACCACCATACCACTACAACCATTGTCGCCGCTACCACCGCCGCCACCACCATACCACCACAACCACCATCGCCGCCACCACTACCACCATACCACCGCCACCGCCATCACCACCATACCACCGCCACCACCACCACACCGCCACCACCGTCGCCGCCGCCACCACCACCACCATACCACCGCAACCACCGCCGCCACCACCACCACCATACCACCGCAACCACCGTCGCCGCCGCCACCACCGCAACAACACGACCACTGCCACCACCGTCATACTACTACCACCATAACACAAACACCACTACCGCCGTCGCCGCCACCACCAGCATACTACCGCAATCACCGTCGCCGCTGCCACCACCATACCACAGCAGCCACCGCCACCACCATCACACCGCCGCCGCCGCCACCTCCACGACCATACCACCGCAACCACCACCGTCGCCACCACCACCATACCACCGCCACCACACCACCACCGTCATATCACCACCAATTATTATTATTATTATTATTATTATTATTATTATTATTATTATTATTATTATTATTATATAACGAATAACACCACTACCACTACACCACCACCACCACCACCATAATATTTTTGATATATTATTAGTTTTTTTTTTTTGAAAAACTTAGCTATTTTTTATTATATTTAAAATTAATATTATATTATTATATATTATTATACATGTTGTAATATTCTAAATAAAATAATTAAAATGTTTAATTATACAATTCTACTCATTTTCCAGAAAATGAACCAAACACAGAAAAATAGTTTTCCATAATGCAACCAAACACTGGAAAGGAAAATGTTTTCCGGAAAATGACTCATTTTCCAGAAAACATTTTCCAGAAGTCATTTTCCTGCTTTCCAAACGGACCCTAAAAGAAGTAGAATTAGATATTTTAGACTTTCAATGTTAAACTAGTGACCTGCTAATTCATGAAGTTGATGTAAATTGTAATTTGGATACTAAGACACAAAAGTGCTTTATTGAGAATGTAATTCTGACATTTTAGTTTAAACAAGATAGTTGTGTTGAGCTTACTTAGACTAAAAATGTCACTTTAAAGATTGAATCTACACTAGAGATGTAATTTAGAGACTAACAACATTAAAGTAGTATACATTCAAAGTTCAAACACTATAAATTCATACAGAGCGTAAAGAAAGACAAGAAACAACATTAAAGTAGTATACTTTATACCGTCCCAACCGAATGTTAAAGTAACTAGCAAGTTGCACTAGACCAGAAGAGATCCAAGTATAGAATACAATTCTGGAGAAGCACATAAAATTCTATATATTTATTTACATTTAAGTCCGCGACATGTAGAAAACTATGACCAAATAGTCACCTTATCAACAAACACGACACGATAAATGCACCTTTTGATCAAATAATGGACACAAAAGTTTTGCTTGCTAGACTTGGAATGCTGAGCTTTTAACAATAATCACATATGCAGGCACTCCCCTACCAATTACAAAATTTTCGAGGCAGAGCAGCCAAAAGGAATGGCTACATCGTTAAATTTTCAATCTAGCCCCTGGCTGACAACACATCCAACTGCTTCACACCACTAGATGATGAATCCTGGCGTTGTGAAACTTTGGTATGAGTTTGGTTGTGGAGGGCATCTTCCTGTCTTGGTGGATAGTCCAAAAAGTGTCTTTCCTTGCAACCCGCTTGCTGCATATGCATTAACGCTAGCATACTAAATGCAACAAGAGCAGCATTACCCAGAATCCCACCCACATGATCCACTCTAAGGGACTTCTTTACAAATTTAAAACTAGACAATAGGACATTCAGAAGAATATTTGAATTCCCTTTTGGTGCCATGGAATTCTCACCAGGAGACCGTGGTGCAGAACCAAAAAGGCTTTCAGGTGAAACAAAATGACTGGCATCCCGAACATCTCCAACCAAGGCTTGAGCTTCTTCTATGAATTTATACTTTTGACCCTTATGATCAGCCAATCTCATTGCAAGTATAATACGGCTTTGCTCCAAGCGAGCAAGTGCAACATCTCTCTCTACACGCTGCTGTGTTTGCACAGTCTGCAAAAGACAGTAAACAAACTTCATATTTTAACAAAATGGTAGCTGAAAAGGAGCTCCCAAGTTATAGTTAAATAACAAATGTAGTTAATTTAGGCTTATAAATTATAACATAAAGCTATATAACATACAACATATACACATTCTTCTGCAATTTGGACAAATAAGCCTATTGTTACATTCCGGCACCTCTAAGGAAATCCTAAGAAATACAAGAAATGAGTTCATCAATCTTAACCATTTTATCAAGGTAGAAAAGCATAGCTTTGTACTCCTTAATTTTCATGTGAAAAATATCATTAAAGATTATCCATCTCTCAACTACAGAAATAAAACAATTTCATCCTGCCAATGTTTTCCTTTACTGATTCTACTCACAGTATAATTATAGTAGCACAGATACTACATAAATGCTTATGCTGGACTATGGTAATTTGGGGTTTCTAGATGTATACATAGAATTCTTGTTACTCCAAAACATAAGTCCATCCAATGAATCCACCAATATGTAAACAATATCACCATTCTTTATAATTGAAAGACAAACAAAATTATTGTAAAAGCTAGTTTTTCCATTCCATGAACATAAATGCAAGTACTTGATAGAGTAACATTAGTAATATACGCTTGCCATATACAAATCTCATGATTCAATTATACACAAATTCAGTTTTTCCAATGAAATTAGAAGAAAAACGCTAATGATTGAAGTCTATGTAAACAAGACTCAAACAATACAGGTCTATGTTCCTCCTATCCTATTTCTGCTTCTATATCCTCCAAAACACAAATTACAGGATATTGCTCCATAACAATCAGAACAATCTTCTATACGGTGGAAATTTTTTGAAATCGAAATTGTGCAGCAGAACATTTAGGCTAAGCGTGCCAAGGCACATATCAAATTTCAGAACATTAAGCGAAAAATCTAAAAATATAAGTCGCTAAAAGATAGGATCAATGAAAAGATGCATAATCGGGGACTTACATGGAAGAATTCAAGCTGGTCCTCGAGGTTTTCGAGGGCGGTGCGGATAGCATTGAGGCTCTTAGCTTCATGAACCGCCGCCAAGTCATCGTCCTCATCAACTCTAAACTCCTTCACGAAAACGAAGCCGGACGGCTTACCGTTCTTCCATCCGGCGTTCTGGTCGGAGTCGGGTCCCGTTCGCTTCTTAGAGCGGTGGTGGAAGCACAAATCGTCGGGCTTGCGAGGCTTGTTGATTGAGCTCAAGAAGTGAGCTCGAGTGATGGAGTGGATGGCGTCGCTGAGCTTATCGTGCAAATCCCAGATTTTCTCCAGCACGGCTTCGATCTCTTTCTCTTCTTCGACCTCCATTTCCCATTTCATGGTGAACAACCAAATGAACACACGGATTAATACATTTTGTTTTCTTTTTCTAGGGTTTGGAATTTTTTTCTTTTTCTTTTTCAATTTTTAATTATTTATTTCCTGACTTTCCCTCCTTTTGATTTTATGTTTTGCCTCCTTTCACAATTGCTTGCACGATACCCAACGCACATTCGTAATGAGTGGGGCCACCATGATTCTGTTCCACTCCAGCTGTATTCCTGGTGCAGATACAGCGTGGACCCGCGCAAACAAAATAAGAAGTTTTTTTTTTTTTTTTGGAAAGACATAATGGACTTGTTTGGTTATCCGCGGTTAGTGGTTAGTGATTAACGGTAGCGGGTTGTGTTAGCGGTTATCATATAACGGATTGTATTAGCGTGTTTGACCAGCAGATTGTATTAGCGGTTTATAAAAAAATGTTTGATAAAATTAACTGTTTAGATTAGCGGTTAACATGTAAAATGACCTATATACCCTTATAATAATTAATAATTAATAATAGTAATAAGAATTTTAAAAGAAAAAAAAAAAAAAAAAAAAGAAGGGAGCAGCGCAAGCTGCTCACCTCTGGGCTCTTGTATTCCCACTTTTCCCACCGTCCCACATCGGTGGGAAAAGTGGGAATGGAGCCTTGAGGCTCCTATTTAACGAGCCTCAAGGCTCCACAAATTCATTCGTTGCCCATCTGGTGATGGGCAACATTGAGGAGCCGTTTTGGCTCCTCAAATTGAGGAGCCGTTTCGGCTCCTCAAATAAAAGTTTACAGTTTTTTTTTAATAATATATAAACAGGGGTGTTTTGGGAAAAATTAATTTTTTTCTAAAACGTTAACTCCAAACCGCTGCTAACCAAACAGTTTTTTTTGGCGGTTTGATCATGTCAAACCGTCAAAAAATGGCGGATCCGCCGATAACCAAACAGGACCAATAAGAAGTTAACGCCTCAATTAATTTTTGAGAAAATGATCAAATAGGCTCCTAAACTTTATCCCAGAGGTCAATTAGGCCCCTAAACTTTAAAAAAGTTCAATTAAACACTCAAACATGTCAAATTGGGTCAATGAAGTCCAAAAACCGATAAATGACTTGTTATTACAGGTCATTTCAATTCCGGCGACGGACTCCGGCCACCGGCGACAATTTCCGAATACAAAACTCGAATATAATGTTTTCTTCTAAGTTTTACTAGTATTCTTTGAAAGTGTGGTCCTAGCTTTGTATTTTTTAAATTTGCATTGAATATGTGTCTTTTTATCAGGATGAATGAATCTGTGGAATTAATAATTCACCATGGGGTAATTTTGTGCAAAACCCCAGGCTACAATATGTGGATGGAGGGACTGAGGTAGTACGTATGGACCCAGACCTTATATGTTATCCCCATTTACTGAAATATATATCAGACCAAATATATGGGAAAATAACCTCACTTACCTACAAGATGGCCTTTGAACCCTTTTAAGCTTTAAAAGTATTACACAATGATACTAGTAGTCTACACTTAGCTCAGATTGCTCGTCAAAATAAAAAGTGTAAGATTTATGTTGAACATGGAGTAGATGAGCCTGAAGTGGTGGGTTTACATTTACCGGGGCCTGAAGGGGATGAAGTTGAAGCTGAGGATGTGGTTGAGTCAGATTTAGGGGGTGAGCATGAGGGTAGTGAAGTTGAGGCAGATGCTGAAATTGGGAGTGAAGACGAGAGTGAAACTGAAAGTGAAAGTGATAATAACAGTAAGCAGGGTACTAAGAGTGATAGTGACCAACAGAGGGATCAAAACACTACTCCAAATCAAGGTAGGGATAAGAGAAAAAGAAGAGCAAGAGTAGATGATGAAACTGTACCTCAATCTGTGCCAGCATCAGATATTCCTTTAGAGGATGCCCAAAATTCTGAGTATTATGATTCAGAAGATCCACCTACAGTTGAAGAAGAAGCGCAGAATGATGAAGGGAATGGAGTGCAGTCTAAGTACAATGATAAGTACCCTAAGTATAATGCTAAATGTGACCCACCCATTGTTGAATTAGTTATGTATTTTGATGATAATGTGCAATTCAAGCTTGCTATGATAAGTTATGCTGTACACACAAAGAGAGATTTATTCTGGAAAAAAAATGGATTATAGTATGTTAGGGTAGAATGTATTGGAAAGGGATGTGGATTTCATGTTAGTGCGGGTTGGGAAGAAAGAACCAGGTGTTTTCAAGTGAAATCAATTATGTTAGAGAATAGATGCAACTCTCAATTCACCTTAGGGATTGTTAGTCAGAAGTGGTTAGAATGGAAATATGAAGAAAAGGTAAGGCAAAATCCTACTATTGGTTATGCAGAGTTGAGTAAGATCATTAAAGCTGAGTTGAACATCAATATTACAGTGAGTATGTGTAGAAGGGCAATGATGAGGATTCTAAAGAAGTTGGATATAGGGTATGAGAGTCAGTTCAAGAGGCTTAGAGACTATGCTCAAGAGTATCTAAATTCAAATCCAGGTTCTACTGTGAAGATAACAACTACAACAACTACTCCTACTTCACCCCTTGTGTTTGAGAGGATTTATGTATGCTTTAATGCCATGAAGAAGGGATTCTTAGCGGGATGTATGCTTTAATGCCATGAAGAAGGGATTCTTAGCGGGATGTAGGAAGTTTATTGGACTTGATGGATGCTTCTTGAAGGGCAAATTGAAGGGTGAAATCCTCACAGCTGTTGGTAGGGATGGGAATAATCAAATGTACCCAATTGCTTGGGCTGTAGTTGAGATTGAAAATAACTCTTTATGGGGATGGTTTTTGGGGCTTCTGAAGACAGACTTGGACATTACGGACATCAGTGAATGGACTCTAATGAGTGATCAACAAAAGGTAAATAATCTAATTCCATTTTCTCAATCTATTTCTTTGTACTTTCTGAATTTGTTTGTATGTATTTAAATTTAGTTTGCTTTGTTTTGTGGCATATCTTTTGTAGGGATTATCCAATGTCATTCAAGATCTATTCCCGGGAATTCAACATAGAAACTGTGCTAGGCATGTGCATGCCAATTGGAGTAAGAGCCACCGAGGGAAGGTATTAAAGACTCATTTCTAACAGATTGCAAAGACCCCAAATGAAGCACAACTTGCTGAAAATTTGAAGGCTTTAGAGAAGATAGATGTTGCTGCTCGTGTTGCTCTGGACAAATATCCTATGCAATTTTGGTGCAAGGCTTACTTCAAGGAAGATGTGAAGTGTGACATGGTAGATAACAACTTGAGTGAGGCATTCAACAAAACTTTGTTGAATGCAAGGTCAAAATTCATAATTCCAATGCTTGAGGATATACGGGTAGCAACAATGAAGAGGGTTGCAAAGAAAAAAACATGGGCTCAAAATTGGAGAGGGAATTATGGGTCATTAGTCATGAAGAAACTGAATGAAAGCATACTTGGGAGTGCAGGTTGGGAAGTGGCATTCAATGGAGTTGAGGGGTATGAGATTAAAAAAGGCAGATTTCAATGCAATGTAAATTTACAATTGATGGCCTGTTCTTGTAGGCTTTGACAGTTGACTAGTATCCCATGTCGTCATGGTATTTGTGCAATATTTCACAAAGGACATCAGCCTGAAGAGTACATACATGAATGCTATAGTAAGGAGCTATACTACTTGAAGACATATGGGCATGTAATCTAGCCATTGAATGGGGAAATCTTTTAGCTAAGGACTGAAGGTGATGAAATTCTTGCTCCTGTTCCAAGGAAGATGACTGGTAGGCCAAAGAAGAAAAGAAAGCTTGAAGAAAATGAAAAAAAAAAAAACAAACAAACAAAAAATGAGTGAAGAGGTTAGAAAGTTGTCTAGAAATGGAAGAATTATGACATGTCAATTGTGCGAGATTTTGTCCTACATTGTCAAGCTAACAAGTAGAATCTGCCAGTTCTTCTACTGTTAGAGGAAGATGAAGACCATCGACTGCTGTTAGAGGGAGAGGAAGAGGAAGAGGAAGAGGGAGAGGAAGTGGAAGAGGGACAAACTTGTCTCAGGAAAGCTTTGTTGGAATGTCAGGTAAATAAATTGAACATAATGCAGATTTAAATAATTTATGTAGATGGTTGTTTGCAGTTTATGATTAATTGACAATGCTTTCTTCTTTTGTGTAGCTTGCACAGAGTGAAGCTCAATGAGACCATGAAGGCATATGAAGATTGATGAAGTCACATTTTTTAATTTCTCTCATTATTTTTATTTGTTTTTATTATTAACTAGCTGGTGTTTATAGCTACTATGTATGTACGATTTTGTCTTTTAACTAGCTAGTGGATTATGAATTGAGAATTTATTTTGTTTTGTTATTAGCAATAATATATATTGGTTTTTCTTTTTACAATTTATATTAGTAACTTGATTTCATTTTTAATTTCACTTGGTGGATATATTTATGTGCGAAAATGCTAAACAAAAAAAAAATAGCATTTCTATAAATTAGGAAACCTGGAAAAATATTAAACAAAAAATTATGCAAAAAATAAAAATTCTGAAAAAAAAAATTGAAACATTGGAATTGAAAATTTGAAAAAAAGTATAAATTATGAAAATAAAGAGAAGAAAATTATGGTTTTTTTATATAATGATTTTGGTTTTTTAAATTTTAAATATGTAAATGCTTACATGGACAACATAAGGTTAAGAGAAATGCCACATCTGGTGCCATGTCAGCAGGAAGAAGGGAAACCTGCTAAAAGTTCTAGGTGAATTTTATTTTTTGGTTTGTGGATTGATATATATGATATGAAAGTTCAGGGTGCGGGATGAATAATCGAATATGGTTCATGGTGCTTTAGCCAAAATTAAAAATTAACTTACTTTTTTTTTTGGTAACTCCGTGTATATGTCGAGCCAATCACCCCACAAAGTAAAGCTTCTGCTGTTTCCAGCAACAATGATGCACGATAAGAATCAATTACCCTTATCCCAACATTAAACGTTGCTTCTGAAGCCATAATTCTAACCGGTACAGCTAAAATATTTCCCGCCATTCTTGACAATATTGGATACAGTCTATTCATCTTCCACCAATCCAAACAAGAAAAGTCTGTAGAAATCTCATTCTTCTTAAGAAGGCCTTTTTCAAGATAGTCTACTAGCTCTGATCTCTTAGGCTCTGAAGTCTCAACTTGTGCACAATAAGCATCAAAATCATCCCAAGTATATGCAGAACTGTGGTGACTGACTTGGCTCCCAAAAGTGTTAGAAGAACCTGGATTTTCAGAAATTCCTTTGTTCATTGATTCAACAACATACTCTTCATAAAGAGTATTAATTAATGATCTCCTTCACTTTTGAAATATTTTCCCATAGCTTCTTCATTAGAGTAAAGTCTAGCAAAACAAAATTCAACGGCAAGCATTTTTTTTGTTGGATCAAAGAAAGCACTTATAGTCATCAACAAATTACACTCACCCCAATATTTATCAAATTTCATCTTCAATTCATTCTCCTAACAAAATCTCTAGGGATGTCAATCTTAGCCCGAACCCGGTGGGCTGACATGATAAAACCGAAGTTGACAAGGCTATGACCCGAACGGGTTAGCCTGATAAAAAACATTAGTCCGATGAGCCCAAAAACGATAAACCCGAGGCCGGATAAGACTGGTCTGAAATTTAATGAACTAGCCCGATAACCCGAACTATTGAAAGTTATTTTTTTATTATAGAAGTGATGTGAAACATAACATACATGAAATTAATTTATAGGTGAGTTCATCTTTAGTACGTATTTTTTATTACATTTTTATATAAAATTTTAATAAATATATTACAAAATAAATTATTTTTATAATAATAAATAATGAAAAATTAATAACTTACTGTAAATATTATATTACAGTGTAAGTATATTAATTATTTTTAGTTATAATTTAGAAATACCGGTTTAGATTAATTGAATGATGTATAAGTTTATATTTATTAGTGTAAATGTGCTAGTTTGAAATATAATTATAATTTATTTATTATAATTTATATGTAATATTTTTATTTTTACTTTATAATTAAAATATTATCAAACTATGAAGTTTATAAAATGTATAGTTTATAACTTTACTTTTTTTGAAAAACCAATGTGGTTGCATTTATATATGAATCGAAATAGAGTTTGGAGGGATTCCATCCCAGTACATAGCTATAGAATAATTAAAAGCATCTGATGCTAAATCATGAGCCATTGTATTCTGCGATCTAGGAATAAATATAACTGAAAGGAAATTAAAAGTAGCAATTAATCGTCTGCACTCATCAAGGACATAGCCAAGATAAGATCGAGGTTGGATAGAAGACTCGAGGTAGGTTCGCAACGTCTGGCAATCCGTGTAGATTTGAACCGATTGTTCACCTCGCTGTTTGAGCCATGATAATGCCTCCTTACATGCTAGGACCTCGGCCATAAGAGGTGAGAAACAAGTTTGTGGTGGCACACAGTAGCCCGATACATAAGCTCCAACATGGTCTAGTAATAGGACGCCGGCTGTGGCTATCATCAAATCGGCATTGTATCCTGCATCTATGAAACATTGCTTCGGATATGCGGGACAGTCCTGGGACAAGCGAGGCGGCTGCAACGTTGACGTAGCTGGAACAGGCGTGCCGTGGCGTGTGGCAGTAATGGACCCGGACAGCGCTGTAGAGTGGCGTGTGGCAGTACTGGACCCGGGCAGCGCTGTAGAATGGCGTGGTGGCTGTTTGGTGTGTATTGCTTGCCATGTGTTCTTCATGGTTAGAGTTGCTAACACAACTCTCTTTGGTAACTATAGGCATGCATCCCATACCGCTCCGTTTCGGACTCTCCAGATATTGTATAGAATTCCAGCTGCAAACAAGAATTCATTAGAGTCTAGAACATCCAAAATTGTCCTAAACCATTCATGAAAAATATTTGTGGTAATATGGGGTAATGGAAGGCCAGATTAGCTCCAAATGGACTTTGCATAATCACACAATACTAATGAGTGCATAACATCTTCATTGATTAATCTACACATGGCACATATCGGATCAACATCCACTCACTTTATAATCAAGTTGTTTGTTGTAGGGAGGATATTACTTATAGCTCTCCACAAAAACATCCTCCACTTAGGTGGTATTTGTAGCTTCCATATAGTGTCCCATTTATCAAACCCCGGGCTGCTTTCATAAATGCCTACCACGTGCCTGTACCCATTCTTGACCGAGTAGCATCCATTCGGGTCATCATACCAATACCACGTATCATCATATTCCGGGGAAACAGGTATTTTTAATATTCTTGGCACATCACTTGGGTCAAAAATATCAGCTAAAATATATGGGTCCCATGTACCAGTCGTCTGATCTATTAAACCGGAAACCTTTGCATCCATTAATTGTGGCAGCATTTCCGTTTGGATCATAGGATCCAATTCATCCTGTAACCAAGGATCCTTCCATATTTGAGTCGAGTTACCATTTCCAATACGGCGCCTCACCCCACCAACTATCAAATCTTTGGCCGCTATAATACTCCTCCAACAATAGCTAGGATTATTCCCTAGGCATGCTTCGTTAAACGGGCGGTCATGATAATATCTGGCTTTATAAATGCGGGCCACCAAGGAGTCAGGATTGGTAAGAAATTTCCATGCTTGTTTTCCTAGCATAGCCAAATTAAATGCTCTTAAATCTTTAAACCCCAAACCTCCATATTTCTTTGGGATACATAGCTTATCCCAGGATTTCCAATGAATACCACGGTCCGTCCCAGAACCCCACCAATACCGGTTCATTGTGCGCTCAATAGCAGAGCAAACAGATACTGGCAACAAAAATACACTCATTGAGAAAGTAGGCATTGCCTGAGCCACACTTTTCAACAATATTTCTTTCCCAGCTTGCGTTAGGAGCTTCTTATTCCATGAGCCAATTCTCTGCTTGATTTTGTCTTCAATATAGGCAAAGGCTATTTTCTTATTTCTTCCAACAAAGGCTGGCAACCCCAAATATTTTCCAAAATTCGGCGCCTGGACTACTCCAAGGGTCAGTGCCACCATATCCCTGTCAGCTTCACTAGTATTCTTACTATAACAAATACTAGATTTCTGATAATTGACCATTTGCCCAGATAAGTTCTCATAAATAGTCAAAATATTCTTAATCTCAGTCGCCTCCTGTATATTTGCCTTAAAAAATAGTAAACTATCATCAACAAAAAACAAATGGGAGACAGGGGGCGCAGCTCGTGCCACCCTACAGCCATGAATTAATCCATTAACCTGCGCCTGCTGTAACAATAGAGAAAGGCCTTCTGCACAAATAATGAATAGATATGGGGATAAGGGATCTCCCTGTCTAAGACCACGGGTGGGCAATATTGCTTCTGTAGGAGACCCATTGACCAGAAATCTGTAGAAGACAGTGGTAACACACAACATAATCAAATCCACCCACTTCTCATCAAAGCCTAACGCTTTAAGCATCCCTTTCAAAAATGGCCATTCCATACGATCATACGCCTTAGCCATATCCAGTTTAAGAGCTCCCCATCCACTAACACCACACTGTTTTCTATTCAAAAAATGTCCCACCTCAGCTGCTACTAAAATATTATTAGTAATTAGCCGATTAGGAATAAAAGCACTCTGTGTGTCCGAAATAATACCTTCCATCAGGGGTTTCATTCTCTGCGTAATCATCTTGGCCATCACCCTGTATACAACATTACTTAGGGCTATTGGTCGTAGATCAGATACTAACTCTGGGGCATCCTTTTTGGGAATTAACACAACATTCATTTCATTCAATGCAGGGGGGATAGTACGCATATTCAAGCAATCCACAATATAATTAGCCATGTCTCCTCCCACAATATCCCAGAAGTGCTGATAGAAACCTGGGTTCATTCCATCTGGGCCTGGTGCTTTATCCGGGTACATTGAAAATAATGCAGCCCTAACCTCCTGAACCGTAAACGGCCGAAGTAGCGCCTCATTTTGCTCATACGAGACCTTTGGTATTACCCTCTCAAACAGATCATGGCCAGACACAGGATTACTAGAGCTAAACACATTGATAAAATAATCCATAACCACATTCTTCATATCATTCCCCTCAACCCATTCCCCTAAATTATTCATAATACGAGATAATGAATTTTTCTTTTTTCGGTGAGAGGCATACCTGTGATAGAATTTAGTATTGGCATCCGCATCCTTGAGCCAATGCTGTTTTGCTCGTTGTTTCCAATACGCATCCTCCTGGGCCTCCATATTACTCAATTCCACCTCCAGGCGCTGGAATTCAGTTAATGAGTTTATATCCATTCGTCCCCTGAGTTGCAATTGCTCCCTCCGGAGAGCCTTAATTCGCTCACCAAATTTATGATACCTGTCTCCCCCCCACTTAGCCAAACGATTACCACAATGTGCAATACAGTCCTGTAACCCATTACCCCTCTTCTCATTCCACGACTCCTCTACCACAGGCCTGCACCCCTCATCATACAACCATGCCATTTCAAATCTGAATTGTCGTCTGTATGTCCTCCCACTCCCTATTGGATCATGAATACCTAAGAAGATGGCGGAGTGATCTGATTGTCTCATTAACAGATTCGCCACATTAGCTCCTGGAACTACATCGCTCCACACATTCGTTGCCAGCACCTTATCCAATTTCTCCTCTACCCATCTTGCCGTACCCTTTCCTTTCTCCCACGTAAATTGATATCCATTCATCGGTAATTGAGCTAATTCACAATAGTCCAGAACCTCTCCAAACCCACGCAGGAGGTAATTCGGGTGTGGATTACCCCCCCCCCCCCCCCCTCTTCTCATACTGGAATAGAAGCTCATTGAAGTCACCAATCATGACCCATGGTAGATCAGATTGCGACTTTAAGGATTTTATGAGATTCCATGCCTCCCTGCGCCTATTTCTCTCTGGAAACCCATAATAACAAGTCATTCTCCAGTGTGGAAAACCCACCATAATGATCTCCATATCGACATAATTCTTCGAATAAGTTATCAATCTTGCTGTGCTGTTTCGGTGCCACATTAACGCCATGCCACCACTTAACCCACGTTCGCCCCCCGGATCAACATAAAACAACCCCTCAAACCCTAGCTTTATTCAAAGACGTTCCGCATGATCCCTTCGTACTTTAGTTTCCATTAAAAATACAAAGTCAGGCTTCTTCCGGGACACTACATCCTCTAATTCACGAACTGTCTGTGGATTGCCCAAGCCACGACAGTTCCAGCTTAGCATACTCATTGACTCGGGCGGGCCTGGGAACCAAGACCCGCCATCTGCAAGTTTTTTGACACATTGTCATTCACCACCTCCTCAGTCACTGGTATAGTAGTCCTGTTTACATCACCCTCTACCGTTTCAGCACGACGTCGTTTAGACGAAGCCACCACATCCTCCTCTACTTCATCCCCACTCACTACCATATGCACATCCGCCATCCCCCCTGCACCTGACGAACCCGCACCTGGCTGTGCCTTTGGTGGTAACGATGTGCCACTAACCGGTGGCAATAGCCAAGACGCCCCAACTGGCCTCGGCCCCTTGGTTCTTCCCGCTCTCATCCAGGCTCCATACGGATAAAGTTCCGGCTTAATCCCGGAAACCCTAGCTTTCACACAGAATTTCTCAAGGTGCCCTAGCATTCCACAACAGTAACAGAAGTTATGTAGGCGCTCATACTTCAAATTGACCCATCCCCAGGCTTTATCCCGGCGAATTAATTTCATTCTTCGTTTCAGTGGTTGGTCCACCGGCACTGCAACACGCACACGGTAAAACGTTTTCCATGGCCCTCCAACCTGACGATCATCACACTTAATAAAAGAACCAACATAATTACCAACCTGTTCCAGAATCACGTTTGACGTATATCCCATAGGCAAGTCATAAACCTGCAACCACATATCGATCGTATCAAGCTTAACTTCCCCAGGCAGAAAACCATCACACACCTGTCGGCAGACCAACGTGTGATTCTCAAACAACCATGGCCCGTCCTGAAGCACCCTGAGCATGTCCGTCTCATGATAAAAAGCAAACAGAAACAAATTCGCATGTAACTCCGTTACCCGTAACCCCATCACAGGTTGCCATGTCGAGGCTAGGACTTGTCGTATATACTCTACCTTGATCATCTTCCTTGTGAGAAATCTGCCCACAACTGAGTATACCTTACCCCCATCCAAATCATTCGGCTGGAAGGTGTTGGCAGCCTCCACACCTTCCTCCTCATCTTCCAAACGCATATCACTCCATCGATCAGACAAGGTTTCTTCATCAAGTTGGTCCGAATCCACACGGTGCTGCTGGGGAACCGACGCCATGGAGACGAAACAGCAGCTGCTTAGTAACGTGCTGTCGGACGTCGAGCACGAACTTCGATCGGCGTTGAAAGCGTAAAGCTGTCGGAGGCTTCCAAAACCCTAGGCGGGAGAGAGGGAGAGAAAAAACCCTAAACGGGAGAGAGATATTGTTTTATTAAATCGAGGGTCTTTATAACTTTACTTAATTTATGTAATAAATAAACTTTACATTAATTTTATATATATATATATATATATATATATATATATAATTATATTAATATTAATATTAATATATATAATAAATATTTAAATAAACTTACGATGGAGGTATGACTAGGGGTAGTGGGTTATATGGGTTGACTCACGGGTTACATAGGTCATGAGGTCAACCTGTATAACACGGGTACCCCTTAGGGGCTAAACGAGATGCCCATTTGGATTGGATTGGATCGGATCGAAGAAATATACAACCCAACCTGCCTAAGGCTAAACGGGCTCAATTCTACAAATAGGACCTGTTTTTATAGCTGGAATTCTTTAAATATGGGTACTCACTTTTAGTTTTCCATTTTAGTTCAGATGGTTTAGCTTGCGCGATTAACTCGAATCGATAAACCCGACAAACCGACAAAGCTAGCCCAAAATCGAACAGGTTAACCTGATTGACATCCCTATAAATCTCTAGCTAATAAAGGAATCTTCATCATCTACACAAATATCCAATGTTATTTGATTTTTTAAACTTGAATAAATAAATTTAAAGTAAGATACTCACAACCTAAAACAAACGCCCCAATCCGAGTTGTTTGATGTCAATTAAGTGTACCTTTTCTTTTTCAAAAAAAAAAAAAAAAAAAGTAAGTGTACCTGTTTCTAACGACTTAGTAAATGCTTTGACCAAACAGAACAATTTGCTTAAAAAATCCGCGTAAGTTTGACTCGTAATATGCAGAACAGCAGAAGACGACAGCTTTTGGTTTAAACCAAATTTGACTGAGATTCCACCCTCCTTCTTCTCCAAGATTCAACTCAGTCAACACCAGATTCGGAAATTTCCTTTTTCTGCTCGCAATTTCCTCAACCCAATTCTTCACACTATAAATCAACCCCCTTCTTCAATTCAACAATCATCGCAGCTTTATACACACACATCTCTCTCTCTCTTTTACCCACCTGACCACTACGCATAATCCATCTCTTGTTGATCAGATAAAGAAGATGATGTCAATTTTCAGTTCCTTTGAAGTTCTCTGTGCTGACTCTTTTGGCCTTAAAGTTAACCTTTCTCGGCATCCCTCTTCCGCTCAGCAACAGTTACAACAGACAGGGTCGGAAAGCAAGACTGCGCCGCCGCCATCTGCCGCGGCTGGTGGTTCGAACAAGTCCGGCGAGGTTCCGACGCCGCAAGCTAAGAGTCCCCAGCAACAGAGGCGGCCCAGGTTCGCTCCGGAGTTCGACGGCGTCCACTGTTTCGAGACCGTTATTCCTTATTGACGATGATGAATCATTAAATCGTACTATAAATTTTTTAGGTTTAT